GTTCATGAACCAAGGTACCACTGTATAGATGTAGGACCTCTTGGAATTGTGGTTGCCCAATTCTGCCCCATTCAATTATACTAGTTTTAGCTGTTCTCCTTACTGGTTACCTTTAAATAATGGGGTGGATAATAACAGCTAATAGCTGCTGGCACTTTAAATGTGGTAGGGTAGGCACTATTCCAGATGCTTTATAGGTACTTATTTCTCACAGTGGCACTATAAAATAGGTACTGTTACACCCCTTTCATCAGTAAGAAAACTGAAATGTCCAGGAGGGTTGAAAAATTGTCAGAACCACTTGTATACCTACTTACCTACCAGTTGCAAATAACATTTCATTGTTCACAATCCCCAGCCTTGTATATTTGCTTTAATTCTTTTTTCTAATTAATCACTAATCATCTTTTTGTTCAAAGAAAAAGGGTCTCCCTATGTAGTCTAGGCCAGCCTTAAACTTGTTGTGTAGCCCATGCTTGGTTCAAACTCATGCTTCTGCTCCTCCTGCTCCACCTATATACCTTCTGTCCCACGTGTGTTCCCTCTATGGTTGAACCTATAGCCCTGTATATGCTAAGCATGCCACTCTACTAGCTATATCACTAGTCCTTGAATTTACCATTTTAAAAACCTATTGCTATTATATATCACTAAATTCAAAGGATAGCATAGAGTGTATCAGTGAGGTTTCTTTATTAATGTTGGGACCATATTGTCAGGGTTTAAAATTAATTTAGAAATACTTTTCTTTAGAACCACATGTACAATATTTTTTTCTAGGCTTTTGCATAAAGTTTGAAACCTTATCTTTGAGTAGGGCTTTTTTATTTTGCATTTTTGATTGTTATGACATAGATCAAGGTTTGATAGTAGTCAGAAATTGTTCAGTTGAATTTTAATTTAAATGGACTTTACCACAATATTTATAATGAATTTGTGAATTGATTCACATTTTAGTGACTACTTTTATTAATCTAGCTCTGTTAATCATTAGTGGCCTATTATTATTATCTATATACATTTAGGAAATTCACCAAAGAAAGTGGAAGCTGTCAGATACTCAAGTGATGTTAATGTACTATTAATGTAACTGTAAAAAAAATACATATCCAGTGTTTTTTTTTTTTTTTTTTTAGAAAATGCCGTATTGTAGCCTTTCTATAATTTTTTTTTTTTTTTTTTTTTTGAGACAGGGTCTCCCTATGTAGTTCAGGCTGGCCTTGAAATCACTATGTAGTACAGGTTGGCCATGAACTTGCTGCAATCCTCCTGCCTCAGCGTTCTGAGTGCTGAGATTACAAGCATGCCCCACACATCCACTCCCAGTGTTTCTGTGTAAGATAAAATTTCAGTGGCATAATAGGTTATATAAAACTAACCTTTATCTGTATTTTGCAGACATGACTCTAATCATTTTTTACTTTTAAAGGATGGCATAAGGACTGAGATACAGTGGTAGCATGTACAACAGGTTCAGTCCTTAGTACTGCAGGGGAGAAAAAATTTGATGTATGAACATAGTCACATGTTCCTGTCTTCTGGTAGTAGTCAGATTTGTATTAGTATACCATAATTGTTTATTATTATAATAGCATTAAGGCTTTTTTGTTTTTTTGTTAAGACAAGGTCTCACTGTGTAGTTCAGGCTGGCCTTGAACTCACTTATGTACCTAGACTGGCTTTGAACTTTTGATTCTCCTGCCTACCAAGTGCTGGGATTACAGGCATGCACCACCACAGCCAGCTAAGTTATTATAGTAAACTTCTGATTTATTTTTCAAAATAATTTGGTTTATTGAGACCCAGGGATGGTAGCACATGCTTGTAGTCTCAGCACTCAGGAGCCTGAGACGGGAGGACTGCCGCAAGTTCAGGGTCAGCCTGAACTACCTAACATAGCGAGACCGTGTTTCAATAAACGAAAAACAACTACCACAGAAAACCCAAAATATGTTTTGTTTATTGAGAAAAGTTTTAAACTCTTTGTAGTATGGATAGAATAGTTATTGTAGATTTGGAAGTAATGCATACTGCAGTGAAAGGAATCTTTTAGTCTGTTAGAGACTGCACAGTTTCGAGTCATAACTTTGAAGGATGGTTGGTAGAAAATGGGCAGTAGGCTGCTCAAGACAAGAATCTTTGCGAGTAAGAAGAAAAATGCAGATAAGGCATTGGTGGAATAGACTGTAAAGCATTTAGAGGTATGCTTATGTGTATATCCATATGTTTGTGACTTAACACAATAAGTAATGATAGTCTCAAGAATTAAACTCTGTTTTACGTACCTTTATTTGTTTATACTGGACATTAATGCTTCCCGACTTGTGTAATATTTCTGCTTGGACTTAATATATCAAATGACTTAGACTCTTCTGGTCTTCTATCTTCGTCTGTTTTTGTGTTTCTGAGATTTGCCTTTGTATCACACAGCAGGGCCCCATGTGGGCCTAAGCTCCAGACTAGTCACTATTTTCTTGTACCTTTCTATTTCTTAATTTTTATCTTTTTCTTTTTTTTTACTAACCACTTCAGTTTCTTATGAAAGACCTTTATGTTAAAATAGTGAATCCAGGGGTAGGAACTCTTACAGTCAACAGTTGTTCTTTTTGTTGTCACGGTATGGAAACACTTCTGGAGTACGTTTCTTCATCTTTTGTGCCACTTTTCCTCTCCAGTAAACATGTTTTGAAAGCAATTTCAAGACATGTGTTAGAGATGTAGCTTAGTTTTAGAGCACTTGTTTAGTGTGCACAAGACCCTTGGTTTGATTCCTAGAACTGTGGGGGGACGGGACAGAATAAGTAAATATGTTATTTAAATATAGTAGAAGAGTGCATGATTAAGTTATACCTTTGACCTCATTTGGAATTCCCCCTGGAAATTGGAAAATGTCATTTTCCTTGATGACAAGCACTGTACCAGTGATTTAATCCCCTAGTCCGAAAATACTGTTTTTGAACACTGTTCTGCATTCTTGGAAAACATAGTTTAAATGTATTCTTCTGCAGTGGAAGTGTGTTGTAGACAGACAAAACAAATTCCAAATTATAGAAGCTCTTAGTTTACTATATGGAGCAAGTGATAAAGATATTAAAATAAATGAAAACATTTATGCAAAATGATATACTTTTATTACAGATATGTTTTTAAAAGATCAATATTGAAAGTGATTTTGCCAGTAAAATGTACTATTACTAAAATCTATCCTTTGGCTTACTAAACAAATATGGTTTGTTCGGTTTTAAATCAAGGCTGCAAACTATACCAAATATTTTAGGACAAAATGCAAAAATTGGTTAGGAGAGCAACTATTGTTATTTTTTTCATATCTCTTCCTAGATGATATGATTGGATACTAAGAATTTCGTTATTTTCATTTGCTAGGAAAGGTTATATGGCTCACTTTTTTTTTGGTACCAGGAATTGAACTGAGGACCTTGTGTTTGCCAGGCAGGCCTGTGCCACTGAGCTATATCCCTGGCCCGCTTACTTTGTTTTTGATTTTTCATACAGTTAAGATAAAATGCCTAACTAGTAAGATGAAAAACAAGAAATCCAGCCTTGATGAGTAGTGATTAACATAGTGAAAATCATTCAAAATGTGCCTTCTATAAGTGTTAAGATAATTCAGTAGTGTACTGTGTAGTCGTGTAGGTTTGCTTGTCTCTATTTGTGTATATTGCCTAACTTCAGGTAGTTCTGTTTCACTTGATTTCTTACCATCAGGTGTCTGCTTTATATTTGGCATTGTCTTATGTCTCTTAATGTTAGTAAATTATAAAAATTAGTAATACATTGTCCCTGCTTCTGAGAATCTTTTGCATACTTTCCCTGTTTCACTTTAAAACATTCCTAGAAATGGGATTTTTTTCATAGGAACATTTTTATGTGGATGCCACAATCAAACTCTACTAAATATACATTTGATTTGTAGCTACCACGTTTATTTTCCCCCTTTTAAATGAAAATCCATTACATCTGGAAATACTTGTTATTCATAATATCTGAAGTTAATAGTATTTCAGTGGAGTAAAGTGTTTCTCTTTTAATAAAATTTTATAAGAAAATGAATACTCAAAAGGGGTGAAAAATCTTTGGTAAATAGTTTCTGGTGGTTGCTCATGGCTTATATTTTTGTGCTTTTTGAATACTGGAGTCTATAACAACAATATTAAATGTTAGGTGGCAGTAAGATAACACATAAAGCAGTTGTTTGGGTAGATTTTGAGAACTGGTTTGTTTGACTGTTACATACTTCTTTTTTTGAGACAGGCTCTCACTATGCAGTTCAGGCTGGCCTTGAGCTTTGTAGCCCAGGCTGGTCTCAAACTTGCAACAGTCCTCCTGCCTCAGCCTCCCGAGTACTGGGATTACAGGCGTGCGCCACCACGCCCAGCGTCCTGTTACATACTTTTAATCTCAACTCAATAGTGCTAATTTAGATGTTACATATGGATTATTAGATATAGAAGAGTTTTGAAAATTTGTGGTATTTAAACCCACCAGTCTTTTGTTGAATATTTTTACTTTAATGGAAATTTAAAATAAATATATTTGTAGCAGATGATTGTTGAAAATAAATTCTGAGTATTTATTGAGGAAGGTCATTGAGACAGGTCAGCTAGAGGTGACACACGGCCTGCCTAATAATTGGATGGATGCTACCTGGCTGGAAGATGGAGGCGCTTGGTGGATCAAAATCTCAGAGGGAAACTTACTGTGTTTAGTTTAAATGTTTATTAAAAATTACATTTCAGTGAACTATTGTATGGTTTTACTTAACTATTAAAAGTGACATGATCACCAGTGATTATTATTATCATCCCATTAAGGATGGTTTTAAGTAAATTCTATATAAAATGAGTGGTAATTAGTAAACATTTCTGTTTCTTTAAAATACCAAGTCTTAATTATACCCGAATTTAAAGTACAACACATGTTAAAATAAGTGGTTTCCATTTTATGTTTATTTGCTAAAAACTCTCATTATGTTTTCTCAGGTTTATGTGAGATTAAGACCATTCTTCAGGGAATTCCTGGAGCGTATGTCTCAGATGTATGAGGTAAATATGCTTAAGCTGATTACATACATGTTTTTACTTTATTCATATGATAGCCATATTTAGATGATGTATAATGATTACTTTTTTTCCTCCTGAATTTGTAGATCATTCTTTTTACTGCTTCGAAGAAGGTGTATGCAGACAAGTTACTGAACATACTAGACCCTAAAAAGCAACTGGTCAGGTAAATTTATTTATTTTTTATTTTTTTTATTTATTTTTTTAAATTTTATTTTAAAGAATAAAAGAAGGATAACATAATAATAGGGGGGACTTAGCAAATTACAGACAAAATGGTAGGAAATTATCAATGGTTATCATTTTGCATATTATTATCTACAAAATAGTTTCTCAGGAAAACAAATAGACAAATAATAGTGAGTTAGAGACAAAAGAGGTAGGAGATTATCAAGAGTTGTTGTGCTATACTTTGGTATCTTCAAAGTGGCTTCTAAAGAAAATAAATAGAGCTATACATGAGTGACCTATTGAAAAATCATTAACTATTCTCAATGGTTGTTGTAGGAAACACATAATAATAAACATACATTATGAAATAAGATAGGAACATTACAAACTTAACACAGTTATGGATAGATTAGTAAGAAAATATCAATGGCTGCTGTAATACGTGGTGGTATCTTCAAAGTGGTTTCTCAGGAAGACAGAGATATGCAAGAAGGATCTAATAAGTAGTTACTGCCTAAGGGTTGTCAAAAATAGCATATTACCTCCTCACCAGTGACTCCTTTCACTGAGGTATGATGGCTGGAAGGCAGGCCAGGATTGAAAAGAAGGACCGAGAGACTTGCACCTGTGACTAGCAACAGGCTGTTTTCTTGTTCCTCCATAGTCATGATTACCCAGGACTCCTTGATGGAGATGACGGTCCGGCCAGAGGGAGAAGGCAGACCATGCCCCAAGCCCTCTCATTCCTGTTGGAGTAACTGGTAGCATGGGTCTGAGCTCTGAGGCCTCCACCTCAGAGGGCAGACCGATCTCCAGTGGTCTCCTTTGCATGCAGGGCATGGCCCATGGGGCCTCTTAGGGCAGTTCCTCTTGAGGTGGCCTGGCTTTTAATGGTGGTAGCAGATGAATGCAGTTGTCGAGTTCTTCTTGGAGCCCCGGGAATCAGACCTGGGATCTGTTTCTCTTAGTGGTGCAGCAAAAGCAGCTGCTTTTTCTCAGTCTCTTTGTTTTCTCTCCTTGGCCTCCTCCTCATCATGGCTATAGAATACTGAGGAGGCAATTCTTACTAACATCTCAAGTGAGCTATCTGGGGTGAAAGCCATTCTTTGTAGCTTTTTCTCTCCAGCTTCCCATTGCTTTGGGACCCCACAACCAGTTAGTGTCCTTTCCCCAACTGTCAGCACAGGCAGCAGGAATCCTGCTGCAGACTTCTCCAGAGCTTCACCACAGCCTGTACTGTCGGGGGAAGAATGGCTTCCAATGAGTCTCTGCAGGTATTGTGCAAGGTCCTCCTGGTTTACAGCTTGTGAGCGGCTCTCCTGACCCCAGTCCACTGGACCTCTGACTCCATGGGCTTAGTCTGCATTCTCATGTTCTCTGAGTCCTTGTTCAGCAGCTGCTCCTCCGCTGGCTCTGGACCTTTCTGGTTCCCAATGGCAGGAGCAAGAGTGGCCCGTTGTATGGCATGTATTCCCAGGGGTTGTTCAAAGTTTCAATGATTCACACACATCCATGGGTGGGCAACTGCAGTCGGTGCATGGTGGGCCAATTGTGTCACTGTTTCTCTGTGTCATGATAGATCTCAATTGAGCGGTGGCGGCCGGCCTAAGGGCCGCCGCATGGCTCCCCATGCGCTGGGAGCCCACCCTCCGGGAGCTAGCAGGCAGGAAGCTAGCCAGCCAGAAGGCTGGCGCTCCCCACCTGCAGCTCCCTGTGCACCGGAAGCCCTCCTTCCGGGAAACCACGAGGCCGGGAGTGAGTCGCCGGTCCGAAGACCGGCGCTCCCCGCCCGAGGCTCCCCGTGCCCTAGGGGCCCACCCTCTGGGAGCCAGCAGGCAGGAAGCTAGCCAGCCAGAAGGCTGGTGGCGCTCCCCACCCGCAGCTCCCTGTGCGCCGGAAGCTGGTCAGGTAAATTTAATTAAGAAATAGTAGAAATGTCTGTCAACACTTAATCTATGAAATTAGGATGATTCTATTTAATTTTAATGACCATTTTTAGTTGGCTGCACATATATTTACTGTTTTGGATGGTGAAAATAAATGAATTTTTAAGCCCCAAAACTCTGTAAAGAGTTCCTTGTTCTATTAACTGTATAAACAGATATTTTTCAAAGGATATAAACATCAAATGTATTTATTCTCTGTGACATCTGTATCCTCATTTCTTCTGGAATTGGATGGGGTGGAAGTGTGCTCATAGTGTTTTACTTCTTCATGTCTCTGAGATAATGTTATCTGACCTTTTAATGGTATAGAGAATAAGAGTTAATTTTAACAAAGGATTGAATGAAATTATTATGCCCTTCTTTTTGGAGACAGGGTTGTAGTTCAGGCTGGCCTTGAACTCAGTTATGTAGCCTAAGATGGCCTCCAACTCACAGTGATCCTCCTGCCTCAGCCTCCCGAGTGCTGGGGTTCCAGGTGTGCACCACCATGCCTGGCTTATTTTGCTTTTTTATTTTTTGTCTTTCTGAGACACAGTTCAGGCTGTTCAGGCTGGCTTTGAGCTCATGTTGTAGCCTAGGCTGGTCTTGAACTTGCATCAATCCTTCTGCCTCAGCCTCCCAGGTGCTGGGATTATAGACATGTGCCACCATGCCCAGCTTTATTTTGCTTTTTTAAAGAACAAATTTAAAAAAAAAATAAAGAACAAATTTATCTTCCATGTGAAAGAAAACGTTACATGAATCTAACTGGAAATTAAAATTGTTGTAGTTACTCAGATTATCCTGATCTGGGCTTAGTTCCTTGTGTTTGCCCAGCAGATACAGTATATTCCTGGTTATGCAGGAGAGTGCCTTTTACACATTTTGAAAACTATTTTTTAATTTAAAAATTATTTTATTATTTCTTTCAGTTGAAGTGAGACTTCAGTAATTTGGCTACATGTAACATGTAGGACTTAGTCTGAATTTTCGACTAAAAGCAGAGAGATGGCACAAAAAGCTCAGGCTTTAATAGCTATGTATTAATTTTTAAAAATCCTTTTCCCCATGTATTATCATAGTGAAAAATCTTAAATTTTCTACTCTTAAATCTTTAAGGCCAAGGGGCTGGAGATTTAGCTCAGCAGTATAGTGCCTGCCTGGCAAGTGCAAGGTTGTGAGTTCGATTCCTGGTACCGGAAAACAAACAAACAAACAAACAAACAAACAAATCTTTAAGGCCAGGTGTAGTGACGCACACCTGTAATCCCAGCACTCAGGAGGATGAGGCGAGAGGATCACTGTGCCTTGGAGGCCATCCTGGGCTACATAAGCGAGTTCAAGGCCAGCTTATACTACATAGTGAGATCCTGTCTTTGAAAAAAAAAAAAATGGTAACGTTTAGAAATATAAATGAAAAATGGCTTTTCATTTTGTTTCTTTTTTTTGCTGTTACTGAGGATTGAATCCCGGACCTTTGCACTGAGCTACAGCCTCAGCCCATTTCTTATTTCTTGTACTTTGAGACAGGGTCTCACTAAGTTGCCCAGGCTGGGCTTGAACTTGAAATCCTCCTGCCCTAACCTTCCGGAGTGCTGGGATTACAGGCGTGTACTACCATGCCTGGCCAAGAAATAGTATTTTCTATTCACAAAAGTATACTGCAATTTATGCTCATTTTTACCTGACTTTAATGAAACTGTGCAAATGATTTGCTTTGATGACTTCATTCATTCTAAAGATTTCTGTTCAGCATCTCCAGTGTTCCAGGAAACAGTGGTGAGCAACACAAATGCCTCCCTCTTGGAGCTTTCATTTTACTGGGGAATAAGTTATAGTCATGGTATTACCTGTTTTATTATTATTTTTTTTTTTGGTTTTTCTCTGGTACCGGGAACCGAACTCACGACCTTGTGCATGCCAGGCAGGCACTTTTTGCCGCTGAGCTAAATCCCCAGCCCCTATTACCTGTTTTAAATTAACATACATTTTTAAAGCTAAATTTACACATTTGAGAGTTTAAATTGTAACTTTAAATTGTAATTTTAAAAACTTGAAACAATAAATGCTTTTTGGACAGTAAATTTGTTAGAGTGCTGTAGGGAATTAATTTGTAATATCAAGGTAGAGTGTGCAGTTTCTGAATAATCTCTGCATCCTATGAATTGAAATGCAAATGTGTTGACATGGAGGATTTTGTTTTGTGACTGGAACAAAGTAACTTTTTTTCTTAAACTGCAAATACTAACTGTTGACTGCTAGATTCCTGAATAACAGGGCAGTTTTTAGTGTAATTTAATAAAAATAATTGCATTATCATACATAGTTTACCTCTTGTGAATCTGCCACTATTGGCAAAGAGACATCAATTGTGACTTGCATTTACATGGTGCACTTACTTGCATCTCTAATTTCCTCATACCTAAATTTTTTTTTTTTTGGTTTTGGTTTTTTTCCGGTACTGGGAATTGAACTCACGATGTCGTGCTTGCCAGGCAGGCGCTGTGCCGCTGAGCTAAATCCCCAGCCCCTCTAAATGTTTATAGAAGTAAAATTTCTACTGTCACTTGTCCAAAATAGAATCATCTTTTCGGCCTTCTACAGGAAAACAGTTATTTCACCAATTAAAAATATTCCTTATAATAAATGGAAAAAGAACTGTTTATACATTTTCTCTGTATAAATATTCCTTTTTGCCATTACCATTGACACTAATATTTTTTAAAAAGATTGAGTTTGTATATGTGGGTGGTAGGGATTAACTTCTCTTTTTTTTTTCTTCTCATTTATTTTTGTTGTGTGAGCTGTGACAGATTTTATGTGAGCTTTGACAGATTAGTGTGTGAGCTGTGACAGATTAGAAAATACTCCTTTCTTGAAATTAAATAATTAAAAATACAAGTCAGAGTAATCGATAACCTTCTGAAAAATTGTTAGTTGAGGCAAGAAACATAGAAGACAAACTTCCAGTTATGAAACTACACTGAATGGGTGCATTTCAAGGCAAAAAAATTCAGTCTTCAGAGACTAATATTTTGAGTATAAATGGGGATTGCATAATTACTATAGTATGTAAGCATTGTAAATTATTTTGTCTATGCAGTTTCTAAAATGGGTGAAACATCAATGTACATTTCTTTGAATTTAAATATGAACTTACATTTTAACCCATTTTTCATATACATGCTTACACTAAATTAAAGGAAATGGATGTTTAGGGAAAAATTGAAATGATGGAATGTTTTGGCTTCAGCAGCACCTGTTCTCAGAAACTTTAAGGGAAACTAAAAAAAAAGTTTTAATAAAGCCAATACAAAAACATTCCTTCTTACATTTTCTATTCTGGCATGTACAGCGATAGGGTGGCTGTATGGTCTACTGTTTAGAGCAAAGGACTGGGAGCCAGGAGGATCATGAGTTGCAATCCAGGGCTAACTCCTGACTTACTCTGTGACCGTGGGCGAGTCACTTATCTCCTTGGGCCTCAGTCATCCACCTGGAAAATTGGTTAAAAAGCAGGACCTTACTGACAACTAGATGCTGCGTCTTATCTGAACTTTGCTGGGTAAATCACAAAAAATTGTAATTTTAATATAACATTTTGTGATAGACCAAAGTTCTTTAAGGCATGGTAAAATTTAGTTGTATGTTTCAATAACTGCTAAGAAGTTTTATAGTTATACTGTTGCTCAAAGCATAGGCCCAATATTTGTGTTTGAATTTCTCCCATGAGAGAAAATAAATAAGGCTTACTCTGTAAAGCCTGTGGTATATGTATGTGTGTACTTGTTTTTAACATGTAGTAGTTTTTAGAAATGTTTTTTAGTAAATTTATTTTTATTTTTATGTTTAGGCACCGGCTTTTTCGAGAACATTGTGTTTGTGTACAAGGAAATTATATAAAGGATTTAAATATCCTTGGAAGGGATCTTTCAAAAACCATAATAATTGACAACTCACCACAAGCCTTTGCGTATCAGGTAGGAAGAGAGTTGCTAAGTAAACTCGGATTAGAAAAAATACGAAGACCAAAGCTGCCAAGATAGTATATCGTTTAGTTACTGATTCAGTAACTTATTTACAAACATGTTAAGAATTATAGTTGGCTTACCTATGTTATAGTCTACTGAACATTCTGAAATATTTTCTTAAACTACTTTGTCAGTATTTTTTTTTTCTTTTTGAGTCAGGGTCTTGCTCTGCAGTTAAGGCTGCATGCAAACTCACTTTGCAGCGCAGGCTGGCCTCGAACGCACAATAATCCTCCTGCCTCAGCCTCTTGATTGCTGGGATAACAGGCATGTGCCACCACTCACAGCCCTTTGTCAGTGTATTTGTACCCTTTATTAATACTGCTTTGAAATAGAGCTACAACTAAGGATGAACCATCCTTGAGATACAATTTCTGAGATTTGATTCACAATAAGTGAGTGCAGATAGGGACTACGGTATTAACTTTGTTAGTAATTAAAAAGGGGGTAAGGGAATCTATGGTATTAAAATATGTTTACTTTGGGTCTCTATATTTTGCTTGGGGGTGCTGGTCATTGATAGATTTTAGGACTTTTGTGCATGCTAAAATACACTCTACCACTGAATTACATCCCTAGCCCTAGGTCCCTATTTTCGTTTACTCACATTTTAAGATACTGTTTTTAAGAACTTAGCTGGGTGCCTTGGTATGTACCTGTAGTGTTACGTACTTGGGAGGCTGAGACAGGAGGATTGCTTGAGCCCAAGAGTTTGAGACCAGCCCGGGCTGGTAGCCAGATCTCACAATAGCCAGATCTCAAAACAAAAGAAAACGAATTTCATCTTGGTTCCCAGAGGCTATCTCACAGATACCATTTAGCCTAAATTTTAAAGTAAAGATATTTTACCATAGAGATTACTATAAAACCAAATAGGCTTACATTTTTAGACTTCTTTAATGAAATACCATTGAGTCAAGAGTAGAACAGTGGTAGTCAGGCATCCTGTCCTGTACCTGTAGTCTTATCAGTTTGAGAAGCTGAGGCACTTTCACTTGACCCCAAGAGTTGAAGGCCAGACTGGACAACACAGTGAAACCCCATTTCAAATGAATGGGATTTGGTCCCTGTGTAAAGAAAAATGTTTATTATTTCTGATAGTATTCTCTGCCTTAGATTAGCAATACCCTTTTATTCCTAATAATTAGCACTATGGTCATAGTACTTATTTTTTGAATGAATAAAGGAATGCTTTTAGTTATAGTAGTGGTTTTTCTAAAACTTGTTTCTGTGGAACTTCGTTTAGTGTTATATTCTAACACAAGAAAGTCAATTCCACTTCAGTTTATTCCTTAAGCATTTGTCTCTTGCATAATTGAGTTGTCAGCAAAAACTCTGGTAACATTGCTTTTCAAAGGAACTTTTAGATGAGAGTTTGCTTAAATTTAGTGTTCCTTTTTAAACTTTTACAAACTAGGCAAAATACGAGTGAAGAGTTTAATTACTTATTTGTCATTTTAGCTTTCTAACGGAATCCCTATAGAAAGCTGGTTTATGGATAAAAATGACAGTGAACTTCTAAAATTGATTCCATTTCTGGAGAAGCTTGTAGAACTGGTGAGTATATCTTAGAATTTCTCTGTTGTGTTTTCATTAGCTCAACTATATTAAAATCTCTGCTTTATGGGTATTGACTTTTAAAGCTAACTGGTAGGAGGTTAGAGAAAAGATTGAGGGTGTTTTTGGTTCTTTAAATAAAATTTAAATAATGTACAGCAGAACTCAAACAGGTTCAACCTTACATTTAAACAGAAGATTCCCTGTACTGTGACTACTTATGTTTACATACTAAAGATGTAAAATGCCACTGAGCATCCTTTCTAATAAATTGTACAAACGCAACTAGTACCAACATTGCTTCTCGAGGGCATCAGAAGAATGGCTTTGGCCCTAATCTGTGAAACCAGAGGTACAGATAGCCCCATTGATCTGGGTTAGTCTCAAAGGAGTCAAAATTCTGGTTCCTCCCTCTCTGTAGTTGTTGAATGGGCATGGGAGCTTTCCAGAAAAGCTGTTAAGTCTTCCCCAGCGGTAAAGGAGCTCTGTGTGGAGAGGACAGAAGAGCCACCTAGAGAGTGAGCTAGTGGCTTGGGAGTCATTGGGTGCGGGTATGTAGGCAGATCCTAGAGGCTACTTGTGATTCAGGTCAGAGGAGTATTAAGTGCTGCCACCACCTGTAACCACAAAGGTTCTGCTGCAGGGCTGAAGTGGGAGCTCAGTGGGAGTGAGTAAGGAAAGTCTCTCTAAAGACACAGGTATCTTTAAGTGTATGCCTAAAATCTCAGCACTCTGGGAGGCTGAAGCAGGAGAATCACAAATTTAAGCCCATCCTGGCCAATGGAGTCAGGCCCTGTCTCAAAATAAACAATAAAAGGGCTGGGGATGTAGCTCAGTGTGAAGGCCCTGGGTTCAATTCCTAGTAAGGGGAATGGGGGTATTTAACTTGGTTGGACACAGTCATTATTCATCAGTACTCAGTAAATTGCCCCCAAACGATTAGGGAAAGGTCTTAAATGCAAGGAAATAAAGAAGTGATACATTAGGAAAGCAAATAGAAAGGCCAGGAACATTGGAAAACAAAGCACAGGAAGAGGGCTTTTCCTCCCCAATAACTTTGGCTGAGAATTTCTGGGCTGGAGGAAGATAATCTCAGGCTACATAAATAATGAGTCTCTCGCAGAGGTAGGAAGGGGCCTCAGAGAAAATATATTTGGAGTGATTCAGAGTTTCACCTGGGGTCCTAAACCTTAGTGCTCACTGCCCACCAGTGGTCTCTATGAGTGTTTTTTAAATCCTAAATTAATTGTATTGATGGCATATTCCTGTGCAGTTAACCCTTAATATCTGCCTTTTGGGTATTATTTCCATGATACTGTTTGGATATCAGATCATCCCTAGGTTACTTACAATAGCTAATACAATGTAAATGATATGTAAATAATTATTGGGCTGTATTGTATAGGGATTAATGAATGACAAGCAAAAAAGTCTGTACATGCTCAGTACAAATGCATTTTTTTCCCAGAATATTTTTGATTCAAGGATAACTGAATCTACAGATGTGGAACCCATGGATATAGAAAGTCATAAAGTAAAACAGTATGTTTTCTCTTTGAAGTAAGACTGCTTATAATGTTATGAGGATAAAATCTTTGAAATTATGTGACTTGAAAAAAAACTATCTTTTTCTCACGCAGAATGAAGATGTCCGACCTCACATCAGAGACAGATTTCGCTTGCATGATTTGCTGCCCCCAGATTAAAAGACTTACCAAAGCACTGAAGGGGGAGAGAATGCAGGACCCTTTTGGACTAAGACAAAAACATTGCCATTACTGTTGAAATTTTGCATTTTTGTACCCTGTCTTGCTTTTCTTATCTTTGGTGCCCAATAATAATCAAGGGTTACAGAAAGAGACTTTATCTCAGATTGCATACATACAGTAGGTAGGCTAAAACAGAAGAGTCTTTAGAACTAGTGCAACTCCAGTGAAATTTTTTTATGTACAGGACATCTGCAGTTTATAAAGAATTCTGTTTCTGCCACCAGCAGTTTGACCTGTAGTTACACAGGATTTTATGATAATAACAGAGATGAAAATGGACTTTTATTTTCTCTCTGTTTGGTGCTCTAAGTGGGTTTGTAGCCACTTTTCTGTTACTTTACAATTCTCATTTCAACAGGAATGGCCAGTAAAAAGTTGTTTTATTTTTCCTGTTAAGGTTTATAACCTTTTTACATTTTTGACCTGTATTAGATTAGAATTTCATTATGCATTCCTTTTAGTTGAGGCGCTTCATAGTTTTCTGGAAATAGTCAATTTTTAGTTTTTTTATTATATGTTTGAATGGCCGTTTTCCTGCTTTGTCTGCCTGCATATTGTATATTTGTTTAAAAATATTCTCTACTTTTAGTCCATGTAAGTTTCATTTAGAAAGACATGCATTTATATTTTGTTTCTGTAATATTCTACTGTAGGTGAAATCTTTTCAAAATCAAGAGACTGGGTAGATAAGAATATATGAATAATATTCAAAAGATTTAAACCATTGTGGTGGTATGTATTCCCAAATGGTAATATCTTGCAATGGCACACAGATTTAATGGATAAAGGTATACCTCAGACTTCATTGTGCTCACCAATCTTTGAGGAGAATGAGTTCAGTCACCTGTTGGGCTTGATTTAGGTATTGTTGCCTTTGGTTTTCTCCAGGAATGAAGTATTTAGCACAGTGATTCAGTATTTTTACTTTGCATGGGCTGGTAGTATGTACCTCTGTTATGCTCTCAGTTACAATCAATTTAAAACTCTGTGTAACAGCTTGGTACCTAACAGTAGCTATGCATAATCCTGTGGCACAGTACACTCCCAAGCCACCAATGCAGTTAATGTGCTCTCATAGTGGTTTTCTATGCTATATGAAAATGGTCTTCAAGCCTTGGTTCTCTAATGCAGCTACCACAAGAGGTTGATATTTTTATAGTGGCGTGTAATCTTTTCGTGAGGCTTTTTATGGAAGGTAGAATTTGTAAAAGTATGCTTTGCCTCTCAACTGCATTAACATGCCACAGGCTCAGACTGTTTTTGTGTAAAGGATGTCAAAGAACGGCACTTTTTCTAAAGAGAAGTTTGATATTTTGTATGCTTGTTAAGAAAGTACAGTATTGGAAATTAAAGGTGGACAACTGATAATTAAGGAGTATGTCAGTTAATTTTTTATGTATATTACCTGTTTACTTGTACAACTTATTGTACAAATTACATGCAGCTTCATTTTCAAATGAATCCTTAAAATAAGGAAATCTTTTTAGGAAAACATTTAATTTTTGTATTTTTGATTTTAAAGGCATGAGTTATGTCAGTTTTCAGTGTATTAATGAAGATTTTAACTTTTCATCAGGTTGAGTGTTTTCTTACTATATTATCTGTTGTGTATGTAGTTAGCATATTGTGTCACTGAACTGTTTAAAGATCTAGCATGTAGAACAAGCCTGTTTTGTGGAAAATCCTTATTCATTAAAAAATAATCGTGGCAGATTTTCTGCAAAAAAAAAAAAAGCAAAAGCATTTGCAATTCAGAAACTAATTTTTTTTTTAATTTAAAGAAAAGTATTTTGCTTGCAGGAAAAAATACTACAGATTCATTTTAATGAGAATCTTTGAAATGTATTTATCTTTAGGGCATCTGGGCATCTTTATGCTGTTTGTCTTATGTCTTTCTTGAAATAAAATGTACATACGTTACCTTTACATATGCTCTTGCTCAAAATTGTGAACCTAGTTACATTTACTCCTTGTTCCCTTCCTTTTTATGCTCAAACAGCAAAACCCATATAAGATCTGAACTTTTCAGCATGCATCATACTTGCTGAAAGTTTTCCTGATTAAGAGTCTCTCAAAGGGCCTTCCCATAACTTACAGGGAAATGTAAGCACCTAACACCATGTGCCACTTTAATAATAAAAAGGCAACTTTTAAATTAATCATTTTTTATTAATGGTAAAGTTGTTTTCAGCCCCATACCAGAACAATTCCTTAAAAGTAAAAAACAAGTCAAGCATAATGAGGTTCTGTAAAGAAATAAAAGAAACTTTATGTAGCCTGAGCAAATTCTCAAAACTAAATTAATACTGTGTATTTTTCCCATTATATTATTTGGGTAATTTTAAAATTGTTAATATAAAAATATAAAGAAAACATTTAGTCAGCTTCCTTCCACTTTGATGTTTTATCTTCTTATTATCTCTTTATCTTTTGGTAGATATTGAACACTTCCATTTAATTGGAGGTGCATTTTTTTTTAAATTGAGATGTGCCCAGCCCATCAGCTCACACAGGAAACATGAAGTCTTAAAAAACTAACTGTAGTAAATGCAGGACAGATAGATCCATGATGAGACATGGCAAAAGTTACCTGTATACACATTACAACTCTGAAGGACATACACTCACCTTGTGCTATGTCCAGTGATATGTCTGACTTGTAAGACATTCTTTTAAATGTTTGTATCGTTGTTAGAAAGGATGTTTTAATCAGTTTTTTAACTTCATGTAATATATGTAGCCCTAGGTCTATCACCATATTTCTCCTTGAGTCCTAAAATAGAACTGATGAGACTTCATAACCATAAATTGTTTTATGTTAGCTAGTATGTATATTTATTTACCCAATGGCTTTATCTGTTTCCCAAAATTGATTTGGGATTTGTTGAAAGTATTGTGTAACATCTATAAATGGCTATTTTCTTATAACTGTCAGTGAAATGGATGTGTACATTGTTTTTTAATATATATATATATATATATATATTTCTCTGGGATTCTTTTTTTTTTAGTGTTAACATAGAATTTTTTTAAGTTATCTTTGGCCAATGACTTTTTCAGCTATATATCTCATTCAGCGCTCTAAAGAAGTTCATTTCTCATTGTTTTATTGTCAACTTGCTTGAAAAAGAAACTTCATCTCATCATTGAAGAAGAGCATTTCATTATTACTACAAATCTTTCCAGCGAGCACAGAGTTCTTCATAAAGACCAGGTCTCTTCCACATCTGAGTCAGTACATAAAATCTGAAATGTAAAGGACACTGAAGCCTTCATTTATTTGTACTAATATGATGGTGTTATATACTACATCATTAGCTAGTTAAGTTTTTCTGACCTGACTTCTCTTTGTCTTCCTAGGTATTTATTTGTTATCTTTTAATCTCCTGTATCTAAATTAGTTCATAGTTACCCACTGAATAACTATGCCAAACTACTAGGAAAGAATGTTTATTTGATCTCCCCTTATAGGGGAAGAGTGGACTGGGAACAAAAATGTATGGGCCAGGAGGCCCTGGGTTGTCATTCACTCACTTATTCTCATGAGCTGTATTTGAGTAGAGTATTTTTCAGTGCTGATGTAATTATGTCATTACTTTTCATGTCTTCCTTTGAGTTGAAAGCTTGCTAGGAATTTGTACAGAATTCATTAATATAATTTTCAGAATAAGAACCACAAAACTATCTTATACTTAAATACTATTCAAATTATGATTGGAGTCCAAGTCTCACTAAGTAGGACATATTTTTATAAAATGTTTCTCTGTATCTTGAAATTAATTGCTGAGAGGCAAGAGTTCTTTGGGATATACCACATTTTGACATCTTTTTTTTTTTAATGGAGAGATAAGAGTGCAACATGGTTATACTAGTTAATGATTCTGATACTAGTATTCTGAGATACATCAGTGGTTCCCAAACCTGTTTATTAGAATTACTCTGAAAAGCTTTTAAGGTATATAGATTCCTGAAACCTGCCGCTAGAAAATTTTCATTGTGTCTAGAGTGGGACCTTAGAATTCTGTATGAAGACAGAGCTTTTCCTGGTGACACTAATCATCAGGTTTGGGAGATAATGTATTAATTAAGGTGACAGTGGTTTGAGAGTAGGCAACAAAAATAAAGTTTACCAGACTTCTCTCTGGAAAGTTGTTTTCCACCTTTTCTTTTTTTAAAAACTGGGACCAGATTTCACAGAATTTAAGATACATGGAGGAATAATAAGCTTGGAACTACTGCTCATTATCATTTTTGGTCTTTCATGTTTTTAAAAATTTGCATTTCTAGGACTTGGATAGTTGATCATAAATATACAGCTGAAGGACATGTCCCTGAATGAGACCATTTTATATATATATATATATATAAACTGTAAGATATTTCACTATTTTTTTATTTTATAAATCTTTGTAGAAATAAGCAATGAAAAATGACTTTTCTTTTTTTGAAATGGGATTTTTCAAGGGAGTGTCCTTTGGCATTAAGGTAAGAGGGGAGCTAATATTCTCTCTACCTGTTTCCACATGATTCAGTATAAAGTTACGGACATTTAAAAATCTCAATTTAATTTCTACTTATTTACTATGCAGAGTAGCCGTGAACAAGTAATGTAGATTTAGTTTTCTCATCTTCAAATGCCCTGATCACCCTACCTCACAGGGTTGTTGTGAGGATAAATAAAACTTTTATGGAAGCACTTTTCTTTGATGATATTTATCAGCCATCAGAAACAATATAATTTCTAACAACTTCTATTTGTATAGTGTTTCTTTTTTGTTTACAAGTTCAGTTTTTTCACATTTACTTCTTGTTTAATATTAATCTTCAAGACAAACTTGTAGGGACTATAGTGTAGAGTCAGATCAAGAAGACCAGTAAAGAAATGAGCTCAGAGAGGGCTGTGACCTGAAACCATGCAGTTCTTCTGAGTGTCACTGTAACATGTTATTTCCCCGTGCCTTAGTGTTCTTTCTGGTTTTTGAGACAAGGTCTGACTACATTTCAGTTCAGCCTACACCTTTGGGTTTTTTGTTTGTTTCTTATTGTTTTTTTTTGAGACAGGGTCTTGCCATGCAGTTCATCCTGGCCTTGAGCTCACTTTGTAGCCCGGGCTGGTCTCAAAACTCACAGCAATCCTCCTGTCTCAGCCTCCTGAGTGCTGGGATTTCCACCATGCCCAGCATTGGCCTACAACCTTTGGTGACCCTCCTGCCTCAGCTTCCTGAGTGCTGTGATTATAGGTGTGTGATCACATGTGACACCTTCAAATTCTTGTATGATGTTTGTATGTGAATACAAAGCTTTCTCAAGTTCGTAAGTCAATTTACCTCACAAAGTGTTACTATATAAAAGACAAATGATGTAGAATGGCATAAATGAGGCCTAAGGGGACAATCCAGTTTTTAACTGGGAGTAAATTCCAGGTTCCAAGTGGACGTGTTTATTTTATAGACAAAAGAAATTGGTCTAGAAAAGTGTCTTTCCAAGATGATAGAGCTTCGCCTAGAATGTATATCCCTATGAGCCAGGATGAAATAACTCTAGGAGGCCAACCTGAGTAAAAGGTCCATTTTGTAAAATACAGATAAGATGGCAACAAAAATCAGGTTATAGTGAGCTGAGATGAACAATTTATACTTGATATAAAGGCCAACTTGAGCCAATATAACCAGGTATACAACAGCACTTGCTCCCACCCTGATCTCTCTGATGAGACTGTAACTACCTTAAGCTTTGATGATGCAGAGTTTTCTCATCACTCAGTCCTTTAGAAGTAAATGATTGCACCTCAAGAGAATAACTGACTTGGGAGTATGTTTAGTGAAAGCATAAGTCAGAGTCAAAAGATCTGAATTTTAAGTCCCCAAGAACTCAGCCATTTACCAAAAGCAGTAGTTTCCTAAGTCTCAGTGTGTGTCTGTAAAATAGATACACTAACATTACCTTTTAGAATTATGAAAATGAAACACCATGTTATAAACTAAAGCAATACACGAATAGCCAGAATGTAGATGTTAAAGTGGGTAGTCTTCTGAAGGATGGTAATGCAAGAGGGATGAGAAAAACTATACATGGGGTGTTATGGTTTGTATCTAGACCCTCCACCTCTGCCAAAACAAAGCCTCATGTACTCATAGGTGAGGCTTTTGGGAGATGATTGGATCATGGGTGTGTGATCATCTGTGGGCTACTACAGTGAGGCATTCACGTGATTTTGGAAGGAGGAGCCTGGTTGAAGGAGGTGGGTTCCTGGCTGGGTGGCCTGGGGTTCTATTTCCCTCTCCTGTTCCCCAGCCACTATTTCATGAGCTGCTTTTTTTCTGCCATGCCCTGGGCCATGTCATTCTGCACTGGAGCCAGCCAACTAGGACTCAAACATGAGCCAAAATAAACCACTTTAAATTGTAGGTGTTGAGTACTGTGTCTTCTCAGCAACAAGAAAGTAAGACGGTTTGAGGAGATGCCTGAATATGCAGTGTACAGTAGGATAAGGGTATTGCTGTCAGAACTGAGACACCAGCAGTGTTGTGTGCAAAAGCAAATGAAAACTGGATAAGTGATAATGGAGAGGGTACCCATACCTGTTGATGGTAGCATTGAGGAAGTTGGTCATACATTGAAAAGCCTTGAATGGCTTTAAGAATAGCTGGGTTTGGTGGCTCGTATGTTTAATCTCCCCACTTGGGAGGCTGAGGCAGGAGGATCCCTTAAGAGATCACAGCCAGCCTGGGCTACATAGTGAATTCAAGGCCAGTCTAAACTAGACAGTGAGACCTTGTCTCAAAAAAAAAGTGTGATAAGTATTTGGGGTAACAGGTCACATGAGATTTGCCAAGTTAGAAGTAATAGTAATAGATAAATCTTTAGTAATAGATAAATGGAATGGATGAGTTTATAGTGACTACGATATACACTTTAATGTTAGGTGGTATTTGACAGTATTTGTTGAAAGTAGCTATGAATAGCCTTTTTTTTTTTTTTTTTTGTCTTTTTGAGGCAGGGTCTTGCTATACAGTTCAGGCTGGCCTTGAGCTTACTTTGTAGCTCAGGCTATTCTTGAACTTATGACAACGATCCTCCTGCCTCAGCCTCCCAAGTGCTGGGATTACAGGCGTGTGCTACCATGCCTGGCTTTTTGTTGTTTTTTTGTTTTGTTTCGAGAATGGCCTTCCTAATGATAGTAAAAAGTCATTTTGAAAATACTATTTGGGTTGGGGGTATAGTGTAGTTCAGTGGGACAGTTGCCTGGTATGCACAAGGGAGGTGCAGGAGAGATTACATTGGCCCTTCCAGGACTTGCCACCACGACTCACCTCCTCCAACCAGGCTCTGTCCCCTAAGATCTCATTTAGCTATAAACTAATCTACTGGTGGGGCTGGGGATTTAGCTCAGCGGCAAAAGCGCCTGCCTGGCAAGCGCAAGGTCGTGAGTTCGGTTCCCGGTACCGGAGAAAAACCAAAAAAAACAAAAAATAAAAAAAAATTAAACTAATCTACTGGTTACCACATCCTCAGCACTTGGGGCGGGGTGGGAAAGCAAAACCTATTTACCTGTTTTAGCATGTGGAAGGCACTACTGTGCCAGACCCTAAATGGCAAAAGAGCAAAACTGACACTGCCATCAAGCTTACAGCCTAGAGGTAAACAGACATCAGTGTTGGGAAAGGGTCATGAAGAAGGGCTTGCGAGATGAATGGCTTGCAAGCGCTAATGTTTAAGTAGACTATCAGTTGAAAAACCAGACAGACATGCAAAGAGAGGTTTAAATAGAGGAGTACAGCATCGCATTTATTTTAAGGCCACTTTGGTTGCCATATGGGGTATAGAGTGGATTAGTGGGAGAACAGTTAGAAGTTTTAGATCTCCATGCAAATTATCCCCTTTTCTAATACAACTAATGGTTAATACATTTGGTGTTACTGTCAAAGTGGATGGTCAAAGCCTGTTTGTAAATAAAACCTGCCCTTGAGCTTGTACCTATTTCATGTGAGGTTTTGAGTCTGGTGCTTAAGTAAGGAACTTCCTAAAAGGAGCCCAGAGCACCCTGGCTTTCTTTCTGCTGCCATTTAGTCTCATTAGCCTTTAGTAATGGAACACCTTGAGAACAGGCTTTTTAGGTTTTTTTCGCACTGTCAGGGATCAAATTCAAGGCCTCATGCATGCTAGGCAAATGCTCTCCCACGAGCTCCATCCTCAGCATAACGGAAGTTTTAATTTGTTCAACACTTACTCATCTACTCCGCTAATTTGACAAATGGGAATACAGTCCACCCTATGTATTTGTAGGTCCCACATCTATGGATTCAAGCAGCTGTGGATTGAAAAAAAAAAAAATGTACCTGTGAGTTCAAGGCCAGCATGGGCTATATAGCAAGATCCTGTCTCAAAAATAGACTCTTTAAAAAACTGTGCCTGTACTGAAGATGTACAAACTTACTTTAGTCCCTAAACAACACAGTGTACTTACACAGTATTTTCCTTGTATTAGATATTCTAAGTATAATCTAGGCATGATTTAAAGTATATAGCAGAATGTAGATTATACACAAATACTATGTCACCTGGGTGTAGTGGTACATGCCTATAATCTCAGAATTTGAGAGGCTGAGGCAGAAAGATTGCTGCAAGTTCCAAGACCGGCCTAGGCTACCTAATGAGACACTGTCTCAAAAGACAAAAACAAAATACTATGTCATTGTACATAAGGGTTGAACCAAAAGCAATCTTCTACAGATATGGAGAGATGACTACACTATTATTTGTGATTATAGGACTCCCCTAGAGACTAGAATAAGTAACAAGTTAGTGTCAAGGCCTAGTACATACTTCTAGACACTTGTTTCCCTGCTTCATTTGAGAAAGCAGCATGCGTAATACTATGAATTTTCCATTTCTGCAAACTTTTCTCAGCGTTGCATATACACAGTCCATATATTTCTCCATAGCATCTTCAGTCCCTACAATCCATTTTTAATTGTCTGTGGCTTAAGATGTAATATTAACACTGCAAAGCCTTAGCATCACTTAGTACAGCATAGGCACTGAATAATCATTTGTTTAATAAAGGAAAGGATGGGCCCACATTTCAAAGTTTGGACTTCTAAGTGCAAAAAATAGATTCAGTGCATCCAGAATTGAGATTCAGGACAACTGGTTCACACTAAGTAAATCACAGTATGCTTAATTTTAAAGCTAGATTTCAATTTTACTCATTTACTGTCAGCAGTAAACTTAATCATAATCAGATGCCTACTTGGGAAGAGCAGAACCATAGTCTAACTACTGAAAGAGAATGGTAGCTAATATTAAGTCAACAAGATGCTCTCATCTCTTTTTTTTTTAGGTACCAGGAATCAATCTCATCTCTTCTAGGTAAATATCTGGTCTACACGTAAGGGGATGGATGTCTATGGCAGCAACAGAGCCCTTGCCTAACATGCATAATGCCCTGGGTTCCACCTCTGGCATGAGGGGTAGAAGGGAATCTATAGGTCAGCCTACCTGTTCTCTGGAGACCAAGTCTTTTTGAGACAGGGTTTCACTATGCAGTTCAGTTCTTTAAACTCACTTTGTAGCCCAGGTTGGCCTTGAATTTACAGCAGTCCTCCTGCCTCAGCCTCCCAAGTGCTGGGATTACAAGTGTGTATGCCTGGCCCAAAACTGTGTTTAGTTTGCCTTCCCTGTATTTCTTTTTGTTAACATCTTAAAAACATACACTGTCTTTTTTTGTTTGTTTCTTTTTTGGTGTGCGGCCCCCCCCCACCCCCGCCAGGAATCAAACTTATGACCTTGCACTTGCCAGGCAGGCTCTGTGCGCTGGGCTAAATCCCCAGCCCCCAAGATACACTGTCTCAAACAATCTTCAGCCAGCTTAATACAAGTAACTATATTACCACAGTAGAAAAATAAAATTGTTGCTTTCCTGAGGCTCCACCTTAGGGTAAATGGATGTGACAAAAAACATTTCTTACTTCTCAATTCAGATTACTGTGCAATGATGCTTACTAGTAATATTTTTTTTGTTTTGTCTTTTTGAGACAGGGTCTTGATATATAGTTCAGGCTGGCCTTGAGCTTACTTTGTAGCCCAGGTTGGCTTCCAACTCAAAAAGCTCCTCCTTCCTCAACTTCCTGAGTGCTAGGATTACAGGCATGCACCACCACACCTGGCACTTGCTAGTAATAATGAGGCTTGCTACTTTGTGGCCCAGCTATACTTGTTTTCATTGAGATTATCTTTCCTGAAGAGAAACAGTGACCTGGTGGACAAATTTTTTTCTTGGAAAACAAACCAGTTCTGCATAGAAACTATGTGGTCAATCTATAGTTACTGGGTCTATGTGCTGAACAGAGATTTAAGTATAGCAAAGCATTACCCTCTCAGGATTTTTTTTTTTTTTTTTTTGAGACAGGGTCTTGTTATGTAGTTCAGCCTGGCCTCAAATTTGTGGCAGTCCTCATGCCTCAGCCTCCCAAGTGTTGGGATTACATGCATGTGCCACCACATCCAGCTTTCCTCTTAACTGCAATCACACTATACTAGGAAGTATTTGTTAAGAATTGTAGCTGAGGTTAAGAAGAATTCATTGGGGGATGCGTATTTAGCTCAGCGGCACAGCGCCTGCCTGGCAAGCGTGAGGTCATGAGTTCGATTCCCGGTACCAGAAGAAAAAAAAAAAAAAAAAAAAAGAATTCATTGGAAAGATACTGAGATAGTTCATAGCATTTGGGGCAAAGTGGAAACTGGACCTTAGGGAAAGCAAGAGGAAGTGAGATGGCTTGGGAAATCATCTCTTCAGCAGCCAAACTGCCCAGGATAGGCTCAAACTGTGATCCTCCTGCTTCAACTCCTCAGTAGCTGGGATTATAGGCATTGTACCTACTTAGGAATTCATGAATGGCTGCTGGCTTCCACCAGAACATTCTAAAAGGTACAGGTGGAGGCTGTAAGTCTTGTTATAGCCTAGCCTTGGGTGTCACTTCTACACTATTGTTCAAAAAAAAAAAATCATGGAGCCAGGGGTGGTGGTACATGCCTGTAATCCCAGCACTTAGGAGACTGAGACAGGAAGATCCCCATGAATTTGAGGCCAGCCTAGACTACACAATAACTTGGCTCAAAAAAAAAAAAAAAAAAAAAAAAAATCATAGGGTGAGTACAGACTCAAGCGGCGAGGACTACACAGTGCTTGTTTACCATTCACTGCTGGGCCAATATTGGAGGTTACCACAGAATTTGATGATTCTAGCAGGTGGCTTACATCCCAGCTAGGAGCAAATCCACACTGTATATGCCTTAAAACATAAAACTAGGAGGGGATCTTAGAAAATACTTGGAAAAGCTAAAGTTTCATTAGCTTCACAGCTAATATGCTCCTGACCTCTTCTAGGTTGATCAGCCGTGGTAAATGAAATACGGTAAGTAAGCAGACATGGCTTTGAGGAGTCCAACTACTCTTGGACACTAGGGAAATTTCCAGAAAAAAAGAAAATATAACATTGTGAGCTCTCCTCCCTCTATACATTGTAAGTGTCTAGCGTTCAATTCAGTAAAATGTGATCATCTGAATGACCAGGTCTCCTGACAGCCACACAGTAAATTTTTAAATATACCACATATAGTGTATTTAAAATTTATATATATGCACACACACCAAGTACAACTGGAAGGACACAAAACCAGTTTTTTTTTTTCCCACAAAACCAATTTTAAAAATTTACTAATACCTTTTTCCTCTGTTTGCTCCTTTTACCTCCAACTCCCATCACCGGAGATGAAACCCAGGGCCTCCCCCTGACATACATCCCCAGCATTTAAAAACATTTTTTCAGACAGCCTAAGTCACTAAACTACCCAGGCTAGGCTCAATTTTGCAGTCCTCCTGCCTCAGGCTCCTAGAGTGCTGGGATTACAGGAATGCACCACTAGATCCAGTTTGGCAGCTGCTTTTTTTGTTTTGTTTTGTTGAGACAGGGTATTGCTTTGTAGTTCAGGCTGGCCCTGAACTCTCTATGTAGTCCTGGCTGGCCTCAAACTCACAGCAATCTGCCTGCCTCAGCCTCCTGGCCTGTGCTACCATGCCCGGCTTTTTTTTTTTTTTTAAAAGACAAAGTCTCACTATGTAGTTCAGACTGGCCTTGAACTACGTGGCCCAGGCTGGCCTTGAACTTGTGGCGATCCTAACTCAGCCTCCCCAGTGCTGGGATTACAGCTGTGCGCCACCACACCTGGTTTGAGCTGCTTCTTAAATGTTTAAGTCTTTTCAAGGTTTTCTCTCATTCTATGTCATCTTTGATGGTTTCTATTTTCATCAGGCACGGTTCTCTAGAAAAATAGATCAATAGGATGTGTATACAGAAAAAGAGATTCATTTTAAGCAACTGGCTCACATGACTGCAGGTGCTGGCAAGTCTGAATCTTGCAATGTAGGCCAGCAGGCCGGATATCCAAGGGAAGTCTGATACTACAGTATGGAGGCGGAATTTGTTCTTCCAAAGGGTGCTGTCTTCTCCTAACTGGACCCGTACACTCTGTGCAGCATAATCTACTTCACTGATTTAAATGTTACTCATATGTAACTAATACATTCACAGCAACTAGACCGTGTCTGACCAAAAACTGGTAATGGGAATCCTGGCCTAACCAAGCTGATACATAAAATTAACCATTACAGTCACTAAATTCTGTTGCCTCTGATCTTTAAATATTTCTCAGACTGGTTCCTTCCTCTCCGTCACCACTGTTTCAATTTAGGCTTGTATTCTTCTTATTTAATGAATAAGAGTTGCTAGAATTGCTGGGGATGTAGTACACCAAGGTAAGAGCCCTTGTCTCAAATGCAAGAGACAAGGTGGTGGCTTTTCCTCCAGCAATGAAAAAAAAATTCATTCATAAAGTACTTACGTTGGGTCAGAGGTACAGCTCAGCTAGCTCAGCGGCACAAAACCTTTCTGGCAAGCACGAGGTCCTGAGTTCGAGTCCCAGTACCAAAAAAACCAACCAAACAAAAAAATATTATAGCAAACGCTTAAGATACATTTGTGGTGCCTTCAGGGATTTATATTCCACCTTTGCCTTACTTGTCTTGCCTCTCGACCCACCTTTATAACTTGGATAAACAGATCAATGCTTCTCACGCTTTTTGTAACCTGAATGTTGTATAAAGTACGTGCATTATATACTCCAGAATTAATAAAATAATAATATCTACAATATTACTTAAAATCGTACAAGGCAGCCCAATAACTTAAAGTGCAGGCTCACTCTTCAGCCCTTTGCTGGGTTTACCTCCGGCCGCGCCCTCAGGCGGGGACCACACACACGGTCTCTGCCGGAAACGCCCCGGAGCACTTCACTCGGTCTCTCCAACTCCCTACAGCGGCGCCCACCTCGGGAAGCCTTTTCTCTACTCTTACTGTTACCTTTTCACCTGCAACCTCACAATACTGCTTTCTGTTGTGCTCATCGCACTGTGTCAAAGTTTGTGCGCACGTCCGTCCAGCTGCTTGGCTGGGCACGAGCAGGGAGCTCACGCGCAACACGGCCCGACCGAGGACTTCCGACACCGCTCCGCGGAAAGACCAGCCCGGGGGGCTCGCGGGAGGGGCGAGGCGCGACAGCGCGGCTGCTCCCTCGGCTTCCGGTCTGGTTCCGAGCGTCCGCCTCTCGGTTCGCCCCTCCGGGCGCCCACGTGGGTGGGCGGGCGCCTGGACCGCTGCCGAGACCGGCTGAAGGGGACGGGGCCTCCGCGGCGCGTACCGCGGCCCAGGCCGAGACATCCTCCAGGAGCGCACGGCAGGGCGAGGAGCGGCGACGAGGGCGCGAGGGCCGGGCGCCAGCCCGAGTGCCCTTCCGTTCTCTGCTACTGTCCCCGCGGCCGAGCGTAGAACAGCTGCGCCCGGCTCCGCACAGCGTCGCGCCTCGC